TGAGCGCTGCGATTTGGCTCGTGAATCCCTCCCTTGAGCAAAGCGGCCCGTAGCAAGAAGAAGGTGAGCAGCTGACAACTGCTCTCGGTGTACAAAGGACCTAGCAGGTTCTTCACATACTATAAAGGGCCCCACAACCCTCTTCTAATTATTCAGGCCCCTACATTACCCCAACCTTAAGCTGCCGACCCCAAACCCTAAACCCCCACACTCCTCTAAACACTCACCTCAAACCACAAACCCTAAACCCTAAGCCAAACCCTTAACCTCAAAACACGGACCCTCAACTAAACAACTAAAAACCCTATAACCAGAAAACCCTAAACCCTAGACAACCCTAGTCTTGGGCTCAGTCAGGGCACCGAATACGCCGAAGTGGCTGTGCAAAGCTCAAGTCCACGCCCAACTCTTCCTCACATCATGAACTTAGGTTTTTGGCTGTAGGGTTTAGGGTAGAAGGCTTTAGGGGTTTAGGGTTCTAGGTCTAGGGTTATGGGGTTTAGGGATATAGCGTACTGGGTTTAGGATTTTAGGCTTCGGGTTGGTAAGGCTTGCTCAGAGCATTTGTGGGACGCAGGTTACAGAAGTCCTTGCAGCTTTTGTTGTCTTAGGGTTTAGGGCTTATAGTTTAGAGGGTTTAAGGCTTAGGGCTTTGGGCTCACATTCCGCTTCTTGAATCCCCATCCTTCAAACAGTGTTAATTGGGTTTGGGGCCCAGGGGTGGATTGCGACTAACTCTTTTCCTGAGAAAATGACAGTCTCCCTCTGATCCAAGCATGCACTCACCAATCTTCCTAAGGAGCTCTACACTGAAACACGAAACCCTGACCCACACTGTGAACTCGGGGAATGCTTCAGGAATTTTGGCTTGGGGATGGTGGCGCTTATGCTTCCGCGCCGTCGACGCCTTGCGCGCTGCACGGCCTCAAAGGCTTGGGTGCCTGATGCTGTACGGGTCAGCACAAGCATCATCAGCATCAGGTGGACTTTCGCCTGGCATCATCAACATCAGCCGGGCTGCTTGTTGCACAGATGCACCAAAACAGCCAGCATCATCAGCATCAGCTGGGCTGGTTTCTCGCAAGAGTGCACCAAAGCAGCAACCATCATCAGCATCAGGTGGGCTCTCGCTTGGCAAGTGCCCCAACACAACGGGCTCATCAGCAGCAGCTGGGCTGCTTCTTCCACAAGTGCACCACAACAGCTAACATCATCAGCAGGTGAACTCTCGCTTGGCAGGTGCCCCAGAACAGCGAGCATCATCAGCACCAGGTGGACTCTCACTTTGTAGGTGCCCCAAAAGCGCGAGCATCATCAGCATCAGATGGGCTGATTCTCGCACAAGCGAACCCAAGCAGCCAGCATCATCAGCATCAGCTGCGCTGCTACTTGCACAAACGCAGAAAGAAGGGGCAGCATCATCAGCATCAGCTGGGTTGATTCTTGCAACGGTGCACCAAAGCAGCCAGCATCATTGCATGTGTATCCGAGCGGCCAGCATCATCGGCATCAGCTGGACTGCTTGCTGCACAGGTGCACCAAAGCAGCCAGCATCATCAGCATCAGCAGGGCTGCTTGTTGCACAGGTGCGCCAAAGCAGCCAGCATCATGAGCATCAGGTGGACTCTCGCTTGGCAGGTGCCCCACAAGAGCGAGCATCATGAGCATCAGCTTGGCGCTTCTCGCACAAGCACACCAAAGCAGATTGCATGATCAGCATCAGCTGCGCTGGTTCTGATTCTTGGTGCAGGGCTGCTTCCTGCACAGGCGCACCAACGCAGCGAATATCATCCGAACATCATCAGTATCAGGTGGGCTCTCGCCCAACACAACAGGCATCGTCAGCATCAGCTGGGTTGCTTCTCGCACTGCTGCACCAAAGCAGCCAGTATCGTCAGCATCAGGTGAACTCTCGCTTGTAAGGTGCCCCAAGAAAGCGAGCATCAGCATCAGGTGGACTCTCGCTTGGCAGGTGACCCAAACAACGGGGCATCATCCGCAGCTTCTTGCACAGGTGCACCAAAGAAACTAGGTGGACGCCAAAAAGCGAGCATCATCAGCATCAGCTGGGCTGCTGCCTGCACAGACGCACCAACACAGCGAACATCATCAGCATCAGGCGCACTCTCGCTTGGCATCTGCCCCAACACAACGGGCATCATCGGTCTCAGCTGGGTTGCTTCTTGCACTGCTGCACCCAAGCAGCCAGCATCGCCAGCATCAGGTGAACTCTCGCTTGCCAGGTGCCCCAAGAAAGCGAGCATCATCAGCATCAGCTCGGCTGCTTCTCGCACAAGTGCACCAAAGCTTCTTACAAAAGAGCACCGAAACAGCCAGCAACATGGCAGGTGCACCACAGCAGCCAGCATCATCAGCATCAGCTGGGCGGCAAGTGCCCTAAACATGCGAGCATCATCGGCAGCTTCTTGCACAGGTGCACCAAAGAAACCAACACCGTCCGCGCCAGGCGGATCGCCAAAAACGCGCATCATCAGCATCAGGTGGACTCTCGCTCCAACACAACGAGCATCACAGCATCAGCTGGGCTGTTTCTTGTACAGATGCAAATATCATCAGCGTCAGGTGAACCCTCGCTTGCCAGGTACCCCCAAAAAGCGACATCATCAGCATCAGGTGGACTCTCGCTTGGCAGATGCGAGCATCATCAGCATCAGCTAGGCTGCTTCTCGCGGAGGTGCGCCAATGCAGCCAGCATCGTCAGCATCAGGAGGACTCTCGCTCGGATGTCCCCGAAAAGGCGCGCATCATCGGCGTCAAGTGGACCCTCGCCTGGCAGGTGCGGGCATCATCAGCATCAGCTGGGCTGCTTCTTGCGCAGGTGCCCCACAAAAATCAGCATCATCAGCATCCGGCGAAGTCTCACTTGGCCGATTCCCCCAAAAAGCAAGTATCATGAGCATCAGCCGGGCGGCTTCTTGGCCATCTCAGGAGATCTCTTGAACCGCTGAAGCATTCCTGGCACTGAGGATTTGCAGGGGCAGAGAGGCGACTGGGCCAGCGAGCGTCCCTGCGGCAGTTTGGGCTCTGAGACAAAGACCCGCGAGCTTCTCAAGGGTTCAGGGTTTAGGGTTTATCGGGCTTATAGGGTTTAGGGCTTAGGGCTTAGAGGGGTTAGGGTTTAAGGGTTTAGGGTTTAGGGTTTAGGGGTTTATAGGGTTTAGGGTTTAGGGTGTGGGAAACCTGCAAGCTCTCGAACTGTGTCACCATTATGACGTGGACGCACTACAGAAGCTCGCCTTCTCAAGCTCCGGTGAAGCCAAACAACAACGACTAACAACAAATCCTGCAAGAAAACTATTGCTGAGTAAACCCGCGTGTCCAGCAAGGAGGCACCGGAGTGCAGCTGCACTCCACCGCCCACCCCTGGCCTTCGGGAGGCTCGTGGCTTCAGGGGATTTTAGAAAAAGGTTGCAGGCTTGGTTCTCCGGAGACAAAAGCTCTACAGGTTCAGTTCCGGGCCTACAGTAAGCTTTGTAGCTTCGTAGGCTGGGTCTAACCGCCCATGAGGGGATGCCCCAAAGCACAACTTCACAAATTGCAACGAGGCTGTGCAGAGCTCGCCTCATGGTTAGACAACTACTCTAGAGTGAGAAGTCCAACCCAATGCGCGTCCAGTCCCGCACCTGAGCTCGGGCGAGCGCTCCAGGACCGTGACATCCTCGAGCTTCGCTTCCCTTCGCAGAGCCAAAGCTGTCGCCAGGCCGGCCGGGCCAGCCCCGATCACCGCCACGCGCGGAGAGGCGGCCCGGGCGGCCTGGGCGGCCCGGCAGCGCTGGGACCTCCGAAGACCCGAGAGGAGGCCGCAGGAGGCCGCCGCCGCAAGCACGGCCCTTGAGGAGGCTCTGACAAGAGAGCTGCCTGCAGAAGCTTCTGGGACAGGGAGAGGTGGCCGCAGGGCCAGGGCCTGGGAGGAGGCTTTTTCCTGGGCCCCAATCGCAGAAGCAGGGCTGCCCAAGAACGGGGCCGCGACAGAAGCCATGGCTGGAATCCAGCCTAGGATGTGAATAAAACTACGGGGGTACAGCTGTGCTTCATGATCATGGTGGACTAAGTTGTCATCACCGGAGCTTGAGTCGATGTCTCCCTCAGGATGTTTCTGACCTAAGCTTCAAATTCAAATTCAACAGCCCTGCCTCCCAAACCCCACAACCCTGAACCAGGCATCCCGAACCGCCCAAACCCTCAAATCCTGAAACCCTATAGCCCCCTAAACCCTAAACCCTAAACCCTAAACCCTAAACCCTAAACCCTAAACCCTTTGATCCTTAAACCCAAGCCGGCTGACCGAGACCCCGAAAGGCTCAGGAGGTCCACGTTGGGTGCGCCGGTGTTTGCGGATGGGTTAGGCTCCTAGAGTCCTAGAGTATATTGCCTTAATTTGGGTTTCTGAGGATCTTAGTGGATTAGTCAAGATGGCTTCTGATTTAGTATCCGGGGTGTGGGGCCTGGGGCTTTATGAAAGGTTTCAGGGTTTAGGGTGTCAGGGCGAAGGTTTCTGGGGCTCAGAGATTTAAATGGTCAGCGTTTGAATTTTTGTTTGGCAAAGCGATTGAGGTTTGAGGGGTGTCGGCTTCAGAATCAAGCAAGCCCTGCATTGAACGACTGAAACTGAGCAACCTGCAAGAGAGCTCGCACTGCGAGCTCAAACTAATGCACTACCCCCTTCCGGCCTGAGTTGATGCTTAGGGCCAGCTGGCTCTGAACTAGGGCAGATTCGAAGCCCTAAGCCGTTCAAGGCCCACACACCCAAGCGGCCTTACGTGCTTTGCTTTGGGTTTGCTTCGGCACCAGAATGTCTTCTACGGTGAGGGGGGGATCCTTCGGATCTATCCCTCGGGCGTGCAATGCGAGAGTTCTCAGGCTTCGGCAGCTCTGTAGGGCTGTAGGGCTCATGTCTACTTTGGAGATTTTGTTAGAGCATCTCAGGATCCGTCGTGGCAGAAAACCCCACATATGCACGGGCAGACACTCACATAGATGCTGACAAGATGTTTGTCTATGTCTATATCTATATCTGCATCTATGAATCTATATCTATATCTTTGTATCTATATGTATATATACACATATATACATGTGTGTATGTATGGATACATAGATTGATTTAAAATGCATCTGCGTATATATATATATATATATATATGTGTGTGTGTGTATATATATATATAGACGCACACGCAACATTGCACACGCGTGTGTATGCACACATGCATATGTATAAGTCAGTAAAGCGAGGTCGGTCGACTAGTAGATAATGGACAGAGTGAGAAATTCAGATTCCGCACACGCGACAGCAGACAGAAGGAAGCCCTGACAGCGGCCAGACGGACGATGGACAAACGGACAGACAGACAGCACATCCACAGGTAATTTACAGATTTGGCTAGATACAAACACAGACAGAGGTGGACCAAAAAGGTTGTAAGGGTGCAATGCACGGTTCAGGCCGTACCAAACCTTTCTAAACCCCCAAGGCCCATGTGCAATCCTGACCTTCCATCCTTTACATATAGGCTGCCAAGCCCTCTAAAACACTCGTCGTGCATGGCTGCTCCATGTCTGTCCGGTGCACATCCAAGGCGTGGTTCACTGAAGTTGGGGGTTTAGGGTTTCGGGTTCAAGGTTTTACATCGCCTTACAGGGCTCTACCAGCGCATTATTTTAGGGCTGCGGGTTCGGCAGAGCTTCAGGCATCTTCGGGTATAAAGGTCAGTCTCAAGGGCTGGCGATGAAGGACCCGGGTGTCAACGGTTTCTCAGGTCAGCAACGACCGAGTGGAGAGGCTTCGCAGTATCGTGTAAACGCGTAAGCTGAAAAACTTCGGGATATAGGTTCTCGGGATCATGCCTTGAGCACTAGATAACCCTAAACTCTAAGCCTTCAACCGCCAGTACCCGACAAAACGGTACGCGCCGGTAGTACACGCTACCGAGAGAGCCTAATACCCCTAAACTAGGGAATAGACCTTAAATCATAATGCTAAGGCCCCTATAACTTAAGGTATGTTCCTTATTTAAGGGGTATTGGGCTGTCCGGGTAGACCGGAAGAGATTCGATCGTATTGTCTCGCGCGCAGAGGTGTGATCCGGACTGCAGGAGTGCACAAGTTCCTCTACGTCCTCGGCAGGGGCCCCCTAAACCCTACCTGTAGCCGTAGCCGAAAAGACCTACCCTTTTAGGGTTCCTTATTATGGTTTATATATATATATATACAGAGAGAGAGAGAGACAGAGAGAGAGTTCCTCAAAAAAGGTAGGTCTTTTGGGCCCCAGATAAGCCCTAAACCCTAAACCCATAGGAATCTAGGGTGTGGAGCATATGGTACAAGGGGCTGAAGCTTGAAAGGTTAACCCGAAAACCTAAGCCCCAAACCGCAAACCCTAAACACTGAAGGCTAAACCCTAAACCCTAAACCCTAAACTCTTTACTAACCCTAAACCCGAAACCCTAAATCCCTAAGCGGGTGGAGTTAGAAGTCAGCGCTCAAGCACTGCAGGGCTCTTCGGGTTTTTGATGTCTCGGAGGGCGGGCGGAGAGCGAATGCTTCAGCACAGGGCTCTTAAACCCCTTTCCCTCGATCAGGCATAGGGTTTAGGGTTTAGGGTTTAGGGCTTAGGGTTTAGGGTTTAGGGTTTAGGGTTTAGGGTGAAGGCTCACTGGACTTAGAAAGCAGGGCTACAGCTTAGAAGTGCCTTAGTTGGCCTTTGAAGTGGTTGCGGCCTATACACTTCTCGCCCTTCTTACAAAGTAGAAGCCCTTTACAGGTGG